CGCGGGAGCTATACAAATCTCTCTGAGTTACACACTCCAAATACACTCGGTTATCAAGAACTATTACTGATTCTCGCACACGCGTCTGTAACTCGTAACTTGCGAACTCAGAACTGTCGTCGGCGGCTGTGTAGCTCCCTTATAAACCCTCAGCAGGGCAACGAGAAAACAACCACGTGGTAGGCATCACTGTTGCTACCGTCGTCTATCGCAACCACTGTTTATCCGCGTTGCACAGCGACCAGTGCGCTGGGACTCGGCTCACTTCGGGTCCGCTCGGCATGTCACCGCGCGTTGCGCGTTACGTCACCGTGGGGAGAGTGGCGGGGTGATGACTCGCCTATTACCGTAGTAACGAGAGCGCTACGTTACCGCCACGTGCCGCTGGGGAGGTAGGGGTCCTCCGTTGCGCAACATGTCACAGTATTCTGGCGTCAATGTTTACTGTTTCCAGTTACTTTCGCATATCTTATGATGAAATTATCTGTACCTAGTCATTGCCCTCAAAAATGCATTTCTAAGCTTCTGTTCTCTTCTGTTTTTCTGATCCATAGAAGTACACGAATAACTGATTAATTCCAAGGTACAATCTTCTTGCTCAGTGAGTTATTTATCTGTCAAGGGATTCTGTTTATAAGGAATCTGAAGATTCATTAGCGTTTACGAAAGCCTGCGCCGACTGACTCTGTCCTGAGCTAGTCACTGAAGTCCGTATCTTCATACTCTGCTTCCCTGAGAAATGGCCGCTTCGGATCAGTTAGTACGCATACATTAATCCCCCGCGTTTCCCGCCCACCACACCCCTCTCTACATCCCTCTCCTCAGAGTATTAGGGTAGGAGCTGAATTCATATATTATGAAGTTCCTCATTACATAAGTTTCTTCAGTCCTTCGTTACTAAATACTTTTGTTTTTGCTCTAAATATCTACCTTCGTACTTTGTTTTCAAACATAATTAATCTGTGTTTCTAAATTATTCAAGAGTTGTCATTACTATCGTATTTCTACAATCAGTGTTTTCTGTATTGTTACATATATGAAATGTCTTCAACGCTGTGTAATTTTATATTCACATAAACCTCTTTTCTGCGACCTTGTCTAGTCTCCGTTTCATGGCAATATTTCTTTATTTGTAACGCCACTATAACGTCACAAGGAAATGAGCGAGTTTATATTACCCAGCAGGTAACAACAGGTTCGAAGAACGACATTATTTTACCTACAACCGTGTTAGGTGGGTTTCGTCGTAAACAAGTTTTAGAAAAATTTCTCTTATCTCGAGTTCGGCTTTAAAACGTCAGAATTTTCTATTTTATCTGCATTAGTCATCACTGCCATACACAAGTAACCTATAATTGCTTTCGAAAGCGAAATAAAGTTGTAGCACAGGGGAAATTTCAAAGGATATATTTTCTACTTTTTTTATGCTAGTGGGGTGGGACTAAGTCCGTTGTACTGCGGCCTTTTCTGGCTTACTGTACCAGCCCCAGATGATAGATGAGGGTGATTGTGGAACAATTGGTGGAATGAAGATTGGCAGGGGAAACCGAAGTACTCGGAGAAAACTTGCCCCAGCGCCACTTTGTCCACCACAAATCCCGCTTGATCAGACCCGGGATCGAACCCGGGCCGTCGCGGTGGGAAGTCAGCTACTAACCGCTTGAGCTATGGCGCGGCCTACATTTGATGTAAGTCCGCCAACTGGTTAAAAAAATATTATGAATAGACACGAACTTGGTGACACCAATAAATACCAATATAAAATATAGGTAGTTCGACTAAAATTAAAAGTTGACCTAATATTTGATAGTTCATCCATATCAGTTGCAGTGGTCATACTACCACGACTTTGCCCCAAGATCCTTATTTAAGAAAATACGTTTCGTCTTATAAGGGCGAAGTTCACGGACTTATGGTGAACACAACTCCCAGAATCCAGGCATCTGCCTTCCCCTTCAAAATTTTCATAAAATCAAAATTAAAAAAAAAAAAAGTGTAAATTTTGTAAGGAGTTAAGGTTCTCGCTGCGGTGGTTCTCCCGTCTGGGATATGACGCCGTGTGGTCTGTCGAATGTCGACCGACGTTTCGGAGGAACATGTCGCCTTCAGCGAAAAAAAAAGCCAAGCAAGAAATCAGCGTGAAGTATGTAGCAATCAGAGCCTACTTGGCATATTCCACAACCCTGAAGATGGAGGCGACATGTTCTTCCGAAAAGTCGGTTCACTTTCAACGTACTACACAGAGTTATATCCTAGAAGATACAACTCTTCGTGCTAATTTTAATACCAAAATTTGAAAATATTTTCTTTAAATATTTTTATCTTGAATAATCTATAGTGATCGGCATAAACAGACTTACATGACTTTAACTCAAACTGTAAAAAAAAAAAAAAGTTTGCCCTCCTCCCCTTGGAAAACTCATGGCCGCGTCCGTGCCAGCATCTGTTCCACTACTTCATGTATGAATACGAATAAAACAAAGCAGTGCCGATTTCGAGGTGTTCACATCGGTGGCTATGGAGAGTTACGTCTCCGTCTCAGAAGCTAGAACTGTTCAAAACAAAACGAAATTACAAGACTATTGCGACATTCTCAGAAACGTTTAATTTCGATTTACTCGCAGTAAAACACCATCATAACCAACTCTGGTATTTCTATTCTGAAGAGAATGGCACCTTAATACAAATAAATTCTTCCTTGCTGCTAATAAAACTTCAACGTCGCCATCCTAATTTTCCTTCGTTTATCTCGCCAGTTCTTGGTAATGAATGATAAGGCAATTAAAATATTCCCGTTAATTGCACTTAACATTGTATTCGCATTAAAAAGTGTTTTTAGCTTTCATTTTAAATTCATTTTTGCATTGTTTCCTTAATCGGAGACCTACTCATTGAAAAGCGGCCTCTGTAGTCTAGAGGTAACGTTCCCACCTCATGACTCGTGGTACGCGGATTCAAACCCGGCGGAGGTCGTCGAATTTTTAAGGGCCGAAAAATTCAGGGAACAAGTCCTCCGGGAGGGACTTTAAGCCGTGTGTCCTGCGTCGTAGCTTTACGGCACGTAAAAGAACCTCATATCTCCAAAGGAGGTCACTGAGCCAAATTTAAGGACGTTTCCCGACCAACAGTAGTCTCTAATGCCTCTGATAGATGGGGGAAGCATTATAGACACCACCAAGCCAGTGGAGGCCGAACTCGCTGGCTCGGCGGGACTGATGGTACGCACCAATATCGGTAGGGTATAGAGACTGGTAGAATATCATAGAGGGAAGCACAATGGACCAATACTGGTCTAAGTGCATGGGGAAACCCACCCTCTCCAATAACTAACTAACTACTCATTGAAACGTAGCATTGTAATGTTCTTTCAACTCATCGGCATTTCACGTGTGACATGTAAAAACAGAAATAAATATATAAAATACAATAAGAAATTAAGTTCAACGCTTCAGCGTGGTTAAAAAAAATAAACGTTCTTTACACATCAACAGAATGTTATTTGTTTAGTATTTCGCGAGATCACGCTCTTCTATACGGAATGAAATTCCCAAGTCTCGGAGATGATACAATCTCCGAAACGCTAGGCAGTATCCTTGAATATCTACAGTTTTCTGGTCATATGTCATTTTGTTTCGTACTGAGACAACCAACTCCAGTCACAATAAAGATAGACCAAAAACAACTGGAGAATGTGAAATGTTTTAAATATTTGGGTAGATTGTTAACAGATGATGCAAGGTGTACTAGTGAAATTAAATCCAGGATTGCCA